TGCATTAAAAGGTAGATGATTAAAATATAGGTGTTTTAATATCCAATTATCCATGTAGTGTCAAGATGACATTTTCATCAGGACCATTAGTTGTCATCAGGGAGTAAAAAGGACCCCTCCCCATCAAAAGGTAAATAATTTTTAATGCAAAATAAAAACTTGAAACAAAATGAATTATGTCTAGAAATAATATTTTTTTAACTTCGCTTTTTTATGATTTTTTTAAAAATTATGCAACATTTTAAATATAAAGTCAACTTACTATTAATTATTGTTTAATAAAGAAACAAATGTTCTTCTATTTATTATAGAGTATAACATAATTTATTTTATATACTTTTATGTTATTTCAACAAGATTCTAATAAAACTAATGCTAGTTGAATTGTTTAATAAATAAAAAATAATTATTTTTAATGATTATTTCATGCTTTGCATAGTTGAAAAGTTTATTCTTGTAGTGACCAGGACCCTGTCCCCAGCTGAAAATAAGACTTTTTGCAAACCCAGCTCCGGCCCCTCCAAGATTATAAGATTTAGCAGGGGTTGATAGCCGGGGCTCAAAAAAAACTTTATAATACTTTATATATTATAATCTTATGCTTACATTTACTATTTAATAAATACTGGTATATATTTATAAATTTTTAAACTCTTATTTACATCTAACAAGATTGCAAGCAACCACTATTAAATTATGAGTTACTTTAAATAGAGAATAAGTTAAAATACTAGGAAACGGTTAACTGAAGACTTGTAGGTTGTAGGTTGTATAAAAAAGGAAAGCATGAAGATAGGAAAGAGTTATAAGGTTTTTTTGATGTGCAAGGAAAAAAACTGGAATAATAAAAGTTTATATAGTTTGAAGGGACAGATACAGTAAAAGAGTGCAACTTGTTGAATAAGAAGTCAAATAAGAATGAGTTTTGGTTTATCATTATAGAAATAGCTTATTTGAGCATTGACCATGATAGTATTTGTAGAAAAAAGAAAGATATGCAACCTTACAACAATGGGAAAGTAGCTTCAGCTTGGCAGATAAAGCAGGTTTAATTAGAAATACATTAAGTTTTATGTAACTCTCTGTGTAAAAGGGCTTAACATCTACTGCTTCTGTTTTTAAAATATATTTTGCGTTGTGTAATTTAAGGAGGATCCCTATTGTGGTTTATCCTCCACTGGCTAATTGCCATATAGAGGCCACATACCCAGGCCTGCAAGAATGACTTCAGCTCCTTAAGGAGCACCATAACCCGCTTCACAGACCAAGATCAAGTGAATTAAAGAAGAACGAAGGATAATTAAAAGAAAGTTTTTAACTAATGTTTTTTCTCCGCATGTGTTTAACATAACTATACCAAGGCTAAACTTTCCTAATAGACTTTGCTGATCTTAAGTAATAGTTAAAAAACCGTAAACATGTAAATTATATTTTATAACTTAATAAAATAATAATTGCCTTAAAAAAGCGTGAGAACAACAGGTATTTAAAAAGAAATATTTTTTAACTTTGCTACGCTTGAATAAATTTGAAAAAAAAAGAAAAAAAAATAATTGAAAAAAATGAATAAATTTTTGTTTTAATAAAATATGTCAAACTTGAAAAGCAATTAATTACAATTTAAAAATTTTAAATTAATATTTTTATATTGATACTATTTTATAATTTTTTATTCAAAGTATTTCAATTTGTATGCCGAAACTTTAGGATATTCAGGTTGGCAGTTGTATGCCGTCTTAAAGCAAAGATAGGTTGGCATTGCCCAATGCCGACCTAAATTTTGCTGACTGCATATATATACTATAGCATATTTATGTAAGCATTTACTCACTTTTTTTGCTTATCTAAATTGACATGACTTTTTTAGAAAAAAAAGAAAAAACAAAGAATAATGAATGAAAAGATTGCTGCCCCATGCCAAACCCTCAGTCAATGTAGCATGATGTCATGAGTTTAGCAAAAAAAAAAAGTGTTTCTGCATAAAAAGTATAAAAATTCATTAACTTTAAAATAATAGTATTTTTTTTTATAAACTTTTTTATCTTCAAATAAAAAAAATATAAAAGATCTATCTATCCTTGTTAAATAAATATTTACATTTAACGGAATAAAAATCAAAATATTGCTGTTAATTTGGGATCACTTTTTTGTTTTTTGCAATTTTTACGGAAAACCGGTTTTAGACCAACTAAGATTTGATAACATTGCTACATGATAATGAATGTCTGTTCCATCTAGATTTTCACAGACATAATTTGAAATATATTTTTTCAATTTTTATTTTGATAAAAAGTGACAAATAATTCTCAAAATTTAGCCAAGTTCTTCATTTGCCACATTTAATCAAAAATCAAAGAAAGTTTTTATTAATTCATTTAATATCATAAGGTGAAATATTGTATTGGTATTTATATTCTTTTTACAGAAAAAAATTATCTCTAATATTTCAAAAGTTAAGAAAGTTTTAGTAACACTACTTAAGAGATTATTTGAAAAAAACAACAAAAAGCTGTAAAGCTCGCTTTGAAACGGAGTCAGGCTATTTGTCAGTTGTGTACGTACTGAAACTCCCGGCAGCAGGCTATCAGTATGAGGTCACACTGTTCACCTAAATCAGCAGTATAAGATACATATATATACAGACTTGGTCAGAAAGTGGATGCAATCGCACTCAATTACTGACTACAAAAATAATATTTAGTTGCGACAACTTGACCACATATATTATATGTTTTGAGAACATTTAATTTATTTTTAAAATTTTATTTTGCAGACATACATGGAAACATACATTGAGAACATTTAAGTTTATGAATTTGAAAAAACTTTGTTTTACGGACATACATAGAAACATAAAAAATTTAAATGTTCTCAAAACATCTTGGTGCAGAATAAAGAACATTTGCAAACGCTGACTATACAAAATAATGTTCTAGAGTATTCTGTCTTAGAGATTGTATTATTTAAGTTTGCGTTGAAATTTCTAGCGTTAATTGTTATAAGAATATGTTATCAAACCTTTATTTTAATTTAATATATTATTTTAGAATCAGAGAATAGAACCTCTAGTGGGGTGTTAACTCACTCGCAGTTCTAACAAAATAGTGCATTAATTAGGTAATCTAATTAATAGTACTAATTGCACATTCTTACATCAATGTAATATCTGTCTGCTCTCTCTATGCCATAATTTTAACTCGACTTTTTCTGACTTTCACTCTATTATCCTTCTAATTAAACCTCTAATTAAATCTGCCAAGCTGAAGCTACTTTCCCATTGTTGTAAGGTTGCATATCTTTCTTTTTTCTACAAATACTATCATGGTCAATGCTCAAATAAGCTATTTCTATAATGATAAACCAAAACTCATTCTTATTTGGCTTCTTATTCAACAAGTTGCACCCTCTTACTGTATCTGTTCCTTCAAGCTATAAAAACTTTTATTATTCCAGTTTTTTTCCTTGCACATCAAAAAAACCTTATAACTCTTTCCTATCTTCATGCTTTCCTTTTTTATACAACCTACAACCTACAAGTCTTCAGTTAACCGTTTCCTAGTATTTTAACTTATTCTCTATTTAACTCATAACTTAATAATGGTTGCTTGCAATCTTGTTGGATGTAAATGAGTTTAAAAATTTATAAATATATACTAGTATTTAATAAATAGTAAATGTAAACATAAGATTATAATATATAAAGTATTATGAAGTTTTTTAATCTTGCAGGGGCTGGAGCTGGGCTTGCAAAAAGTCTTATTTTCAACTCAATGTAAACTGTCTACTCATTTTGTTAAACAATTTGCCATTTTAAACAATATCTTTGCCTAAAGCAGACAAACTTAATTTGTATTTCTAAACAACATTCTTTATATGAGCAATCTAAAAAACCAATTAAAATGTAATAAATAATGACCTTTTTTTTTTGTAAAAAAACAAAAACTTCAAAACTAAAAAAATCACTAATTCATAAATTTGCTATATACTTAATTTACTACACAAAATTTAATTGCTACATTCTTTAAAATATTATTTAATTGTCTGAAGATATGCTATTATAAAGGAATCCTTTTATAATAAATTAATTATTACCCCTATTGTAACAAAGCAAAAAATCAAACTTTTTTTTGCTGACCTGACGCCGACTAAGCTTGTGCTGACCTGAAATTCTTCAAATTTTGCTGACTGTATATACATGCTATATATATATATATATATATATATATATATATATATATATATATATATATATATATATATATATATATATATATATATATATATATATATGCTATAGTAGATATATTTATGCTATGGTATATATATATATATATATATATATATATATATATATATATAATATATATATATATATATATATATATATATATATATATATATATATATATATATATATATATATATACACACATATTAGCTTTTTCAGAAACACAAGAAGAAAAAAAGATTGCTGCTCCAGCATAAATCCTTAGCTGATGTACTGTTTTTATTATTTTTTTTATTATTTTTATTGCACTATTTTTGATTATTTTTATATGCGCTATTTTTTTACGTGATCCTTTTTAAGCCAGTCGTATATGTATTATATATAATATAATGTAATATAAATCTTTCAATATTCAGAAACACCTGCCCAAACCCTTAGTAAATGTATTATATATAATATAATGTAATAAAAATCTTTCAATATTCAGAAATACCTGCCCAAACCCTTAGTCAATGTATGCACTGAGGTTCTGCTTTAGTAAGTATACTTTTACTTTTATAGTAAACTGCGTTAAAAATAAAACTGCAAACATTGTAAAATCTAATAAATTTAAACAACTATTTTAAACTTACTTTAAGATGACATCTTGAAATAAGTTTAAGATAATTGTAACTTAAAAATAAAAACAATATTAATCATTGTAAAACTAAATTTTTTTTGAAAATAATAAACTTTTCAGAGACAGTAGTAAAAAAAAAAAAAGTTAACACACCTCATATTTTGCGTTGTTTTCAAAAATGGTTTGTGACTTGTGTGACAACTGAGAAAACACAGAAGAAAGAATAGCTAACTTTTTGCGCCCATCATCTATAAAATTTCCATCATCATAATCAATGTATCCTAATATAGAATCTAGCTCAACAAAAGCTTTATCGAATTCTTTCTCCAACATATCTAACCATCGGAACATAGAAACAGCTAAACTCATGACAAAGTAAATACTTCAAGAAATATTTTGTTTAAACATTTTTTTTTCAAAGTCACACATAAACTAAAAAATAAAATAAAACAGGTTCATAATCTGATCAAAATAATAATCAAATAATTTTATAACAATAACTAGTAAAATTAACATATATATATATATATATACATATATATATATATATATATATATATATATATATATATATATATATATATATATATATATATATATATATATATATATATATATATATATATATATATATATTGTATTTGAAAATAAAATATAAAAACTCAATTTTATATCCGCACAATATATAAATATATATATATATATATATATATATATATATATATATATATATATATATATTTAAATTATGTTAGTGTATTCTACAAATAGAGTGCTCAATGTTTTTAAAGAACAGAGCAATAATAATTTAGTAAAAACACTTATCTAATTTTTGTGCTCTTCAACAGCATGTTTCACCATCAGTACGTTCATCAGGAAGCTTCCTGATGAACGTACTGAAGTGTTTTTACTAAAATATATATATATATATATATATATATATATATATATATATATATATATATATATATATACATATATATGTATATATATATATATATATTTATATATATATACATATGTATATATATATATATACATATATGTATATATATATATATATATATATATATATATATATATATATATATCAGAGGCTATTCTAGACTGTTTTCGAAATTGCTGGCTGTATTTGGGCGCCGCCCAAATTCAGAAATTAAGGATTTTTTTTTAAAGCAAATATAAATTTTTTTCGTGAAAAAATGCCTAGGCACAGCAAATTTCCCTGTATATATATATATATATATATATATATATATATATATATATATATATACATATATATATATATATATATATATATATATATATATATATATATATATATATATATATATATATATATATATATATACATGCGGTAGTGGTGTAGTGGTAAAACACTCGCTTCATAAGTGAGAGGTTCCGAGCTCGATCCCCACCACGTCCCTGGTAGTACCGCGCTCAACTTGTTTCTCCGCTCAGCGGCCTTGTTCGTCGTGTTTCGGAGTTATAGAGTTGAGAGAGGGTTATAACCACTATTAAGTAGCCTCCTTGTCTGTAGTGGCCTTCTTGGCCTTGAGGAGGTAAATAACTAAAAAAAAAAAAAAAAAAAATTATATATATATATATATATATATACAACCCTCAGAATTAGAAAAAATGTGGTTCGCAATATAATTTTGCTTGGTTTACTTTAAATTTCCACTTCAATGTTTTTTGGTTTTTTAAAGTAAATATTAAAGACTAGAAAAAGTTATAAAACTTAAGAAAGAATTTTGTTTAAATTGATAAATTGCCTGCCCAAACCAAAACCCCCAGTTAATAGAGCAGGATCCCTTACATAAAATGATAAAATTTAATTATTTCCCCTAATTATTTTAATAGTTTTTGCATAAAGTGCTCTTAATTTTGTCAAAAATAAATAAAGAGCCATTTCATTATTATAAACAGTAAGCCATCAATTGATGTTTAGGTAGAGCATGCAAGCGCACTCACTTGCATATTCTACCTAGATAGTCAGTCAATGTATGTACTCACAAATTTTGTGATTTTTTCCAGCGAATTTTCAGAAATTCGCTGGAAAAAATTGCTAAGATAAATTAAACTAGAATAAAATGTATATATATATATATATATATATATATATATATATATATATATATATATATATATATATATATCTATATATATATATAGATAAACAAACGAAAGTTTTCTTTCTGATAATAAACATATAATAAAATAAAAAGTAAATATACAAGAATAAACATTTTATAATTTTCTACATAGATAACAAAAAAGATTAATTACAAGGTTATAAGAAATAGTCATAAGAAATGATAAAAAAACTAAACTATTATATTATTATTTTAAATTATAAATTTTTGCAGGTATCTTTTTAATTTTACTCTAAGCATTTTAAATTATACTTTAAATTAAAAAATGAAACAAGTAGTACTCATATATATATATATATATATATATATATATATATATATATATATATATATATATATATATATATATATATATATATATATATATATATATATATATATATATATATATATATATATATTTATATATAATACTTATATATTAAAATCTTGTAAAACTAACAAATTTTTTTAAAATACAATAAATTACTTATGCTGCTTGAACTTTCAAAAAAAAATGTTTAAAAGTATGCTTTATATAACAAAGAAATACATTAAACATAAACTTAATCAACAACCAAAAACTTTAAAATGTAAATGTTAATATATGGAATTTTTTAAAAAAATTTAAAACTTTTATAAAATTAAAAGAAATCAATTTTAATGACAACATTTTTTTCTTTGTTCTACATCGCCTGATTCCTCTCGTAAATAAATATGTGGCAATAAACTGGGTAATTTCTTGACACCTTCCCAGTCTGAATTTTGTCTAATAGAACCCTGATGAAAACGTTTATAAATTTCTCGAGCTACCGAACTAAATGCTTCTTCAACATTACATAGAATTTTAGCTGATGTTTCAATAAATAGCATATCATTAGCTAGAGCAAAGGCCTCACCTTCAGAAGTTGGCACTTCACGCAAATAGTCTAAATCTAGTTTATGTCCTACTAAAGAATAAACAACATTTAAATCTTCAGTTGCATATTTTGCTTCTCTAAGCCATTCACTAACGTGATTAAATGATTCACGATTGTTTATATCATAAACAATTAAACATCCTGCACAATTTCGATAATATGACCTCGTTATTGAACGAAATCGTTCTTGACCTGCAGTATCCCATAACTGCAGCTTTACTCTTACTTTATCTAAAATGATTATTAAATTATAGTCACCAAACAGATAAACAAAAAATAATTCAAACTTTGATGGTTTTTTATACTATATCTAGAGCTACATTAGAATTATTATTATATAGCAATCTCAGTGATTATAAGCTAAACATTAGCATTACTACACTGTATAAATTAGAACTACAATACCGCTGATTTGAATAACTCTCACATGAAAATCCACACCAACAGTAGGATCAGATGTACGAATATATTGACCTTCGGTAAACTGGCGTAGCAAAGAAGATTTCCCAACAGTGCTATCTCCTATAAGAATAACTCGAAATTGATAAAATAAGTCTGTTTCTAATGGATTGTAGTTATTATCAGTCATTTCATAGATTTATAGAAGTTTTTTTTTTCAAAAATTTCAGAAATTTCATATAAATTTTGACTTGTTTCTCATATTGTGTATAAATTGTTTTGGAAACGAAATAATTAAAGTCAAACAACTCCCGACGATAAATCGTTGAAAACAAATACGCTTGATTATCGGTCAAAAATCTGAAGCCGATAGTTTTTTATCAAAAATCTTAAACGGAGGGGGGTAGCTTTTTTACTTTTTCTTAGTCGTATGCGCGTATTAAACTTAATTTATTATTCATTATTGTGATTATCTCACCCAGAGGCGTCTCTTCTGGACGGCCCTGATTTCACCTAAAAAGTTTATGTAATTAAACCTCATAATTTTTTTAAATAAATTAAATTGATTTACAAACTTTTAATAAGTTTTGAAATACTTTTATTTTACAAATATCATTTAACTATCAGTTTACATTTAGCATTTACATATTTAGTATTATTAGCATCGAGATTTTTTTCAGGCAAAACAGTTAATTAACAATTCCAAGTCAATGCTCTCAGCAAGCTCACGTTGAATTGGAAATAATGCAAAAATAGATAGACGTTCATTTATCATTGATAATTGCAGAAAAATTTCAATGATCTTTATAACACTTCTCTCATCAGTATTAGATGTAACAGGAAAACTCATGTAGATTTTATAGAGTATAGCCATTTTAAGTTGGAATGTTGAAAAATGGCAAGTTTTCAAAAGCTTCTAAGCATTAGCAGATTTTGTCTTTAATAGTTTTTGGGAAAAGAAGAGTGAAAGGGATATCATTTTTCTAGCAAGGTACCAGGTATGCCTTACAATAGCATTTAAAGCTCTTTCGCTAACCTCTTTGTTATGTTGGTATTTTAAAATTGTAAGATCTTAGAATCAAGTAACTATTGGTGGATTGGCAGCATTTATGCAGGTGAGTCAGTTTTTGGTATAGATCTCAAAAACAAACTGACTAAAAAACAAATAAACTTTGACATAAACTATAAAACATTATTTTAGGTTTGACAAAAAAATCTGTAGTTTAAGTGATGTTTAAATAAAAACAACTTTGCACTGCACAGAAGTATGGCTGAAAATATTCCAGGTATGTAGAAAACAAATCAATCCGGTGGCTTTTCTCGAAGTAAAGTGCAGTTCCTGCAATTGCTAAAAATGCAAAGTTCCAAGTAGTCACTTCTTTGCTCCATTGACTTGTTTAAATGTTTGTCCTGGACAAAATTTCACAAATTATTTTTCTTCATTGACAGCCATTAGTCTTCAACTTTAAATAGAGCAAATTCTCTTCTACTTGTCTTTTCAATTTCATCATACTTGGTTTGCAATTCTTGAACAGTAAAAGATCGGGTGATCTATCTTATCAAATCAACAAATTCAACAGCAGAGAAGTTGAACCAGAGTTTAACCATCGTTTCTTTAAATTCTTCTCATTTTGTTATTTGATTTGAAAACTCACTTTTAAAATGTTCAAATCAAGTAACAAATGAGAAAAAAATTAGAGAAATCTATTCATTGTAGAAAAAAAAAAATTTTTTAAAACCCAATAATTTAATGTAATATTTATTCACAATTCCCAAAATTCGCTGTAATATTTGTAATAAGCATTTTGTCTTTTAATAAGTTTTGTTCATCTACTGTTTAATAAGAAATAGTAAATATAATTTCTGACTGAAAAAAAAATATCCTAAATATTCAATTATTTTAAAGACATTCTTAATGGGATAAAAAAATGTTTTTAGAAAATATCATAGTTTTCTGTACATTTTCTTAATTTGTAAAGCAGCAGTTTTTTAAATTTTCGAGTTGAAAAAAAAAGTTGTCGATTTGTCATTCTTTTTGGTCTAACTGATGTGTAAACTTCACATTCAATATTCTTATATACACCATAAGAACCTTCTAAAACCTTACATACTATATTCTTATAAACACCATAAGAACCTTCTAAAACTTTACATACTATATTCTTATATACACCATAAGAACCTTCTAAAACTTTACATACTATATTCTTATATACACCATAAGAACCTTCTAAAACTTTACATACTATATTCTTATATACACCATAAGAACCTTCTAAAATTTCACATAGTATATTCTTATACACGCCATAAGAACCTTTCTAAAACTTTCCAGATAGGAATCCTCTAAAAGCTTCAACACCATCCTTCTAGGTTAAATAGTTTTTTTTAATTATTTTTCAGACCATTCTAGTACCTTTTCAAAGGTTCCAGAATGTTCTATAATCTTTCACAATGCTCTTGAACAAGCCTAAATATTTTTGACCTTCTTTATAAAATGTGATGAAAGATTCAAGAGTATTTCGGAAATCTTAGTTTAAAACCGTACAGAACATTTTTTGGATCCTTTCTTATTACCTTTTGAAACCAACTGTATAATGAAAACTAGGTTTTTAGTGTTAAAAAGGTAACCACAATACGTAAAATTTCAAATAGTATTAAGTGCCTCGGGTAGAGAGGGAAGGGGGAAAACGTTAGAATTGTGCTAAGAAAACAAAGTTTCACACCTGTCATTACAGGGATAATGTCTACTTGAAAATTTTTGGTCGTCGAGATTCCAAGTAATTTAATATTTTTGAGCATCCCTACTTAAACGTTTTATTTGTACACAATCGTCAATAATGAAGATACTGATGCATCTTTGAAAGAAATGTGATATAAGTAGTAGAGTGGGATGTTTATGCATACTTATTATAATTTATTATAATCTACTACTGCTTTTTTAATGTTTATTTTGTTTGTGTAAATTTTTTTAACTTACAAATAAGTTTACCCAAAAAAATTTTGACGGTATGAGGTAAGTAAAATATTTAACCGTGTTACCAAAATCATAAAAACATTCATATATTTGGTTTATTAGTGTATTCTTTACATTTGAACCAAATTTTTGAATCATTAATCTCTTCACCTTTCTTACCATGTATTTCTTCTTTGTAACTTGCCCATCTTTTAGTTCAGTTTCTACATCTGTTTTGATACATTTATTTTCATAAAAGATTTGACCAACACATTTAGACCTTCAAAAGCTGCGTATAAACAAACTTTTTTCTCATATCAAAAAGCTTTTTTGATGTAACATTAATTAATTTTTAAAATTTCGAAGGAAATTTTAATGAATCTTTAGAAACAAACAAAGTAAAGTATCCTGACATTTCAGAAGTAAGCGATTAATTTAAGTCAATTTGTGACATTTCAGAAGTAAGCGATTAATGAATATTTATTCAATTATTCAAATAGCAATTGATTAATACATTTGGATATTAAACTCTAATTAATGTTTATAATTTCTCAATGTACTGATAACAGTGATAATGGAATGTTTAATTTAGTATGTAATTAAATTTTGTCAGGTTTATTTAAGATATCGTTATACCTTATAATTGACGCAAAAAATTAATTTGTGATGTATATACTAACGTAAAAGCTTTGATGCAATTTACAGATGAAGAACATGTTCTGGTAAATATACTTTCAAGTAACTCATTTTCTATTTGTTGCCCAGGATGCCCGTTTTGTATTTAAGCAAACTTTTAGCGGTATGAAAATATTACGATCAAGAGATTGAAATGCAACTTAATCGCATGCATCGCACGTATCGCATGTAATCGCATGAAATCGCATGTATTGCATGTTTCGCATGTATCGCATGAAAAGATTATGAGATTGCAACATAATCGCTAAGAAAATACGCTTATTAGTATTGCAAAGTATTCTCGTAACGTAAAAATTATTTTTTTGTTGCTTTTTTTGTCATGTAAATAAATAAATGTTTATTTTATGGGTTTGTCCTGTTCCAAAATTCATTCATTCTCAGATAATACATTGGAGCAATAAACTGTCTGATAACCTTCATAACTGTTGTTATGAGACACACCACTGGTTTAAAGAAAAAAAAATTCTAAATAATTTTAACAGGTTTATGTAAATATGCAAGGATCAATTTGTCAGAGTTAAAAATTTAACAGTGTTCAACTTTGTTTTTATTTATATAAACAATAAAGAACTTAAATAAACAGAATACAAAAATTTTTTTTTATAAATTTCTATATGGTCAAAATAAAGATGGGTTGAATTGCTGATAAAATTTTAAATTTAATAACAAAAATGAAAGTCTTCTTGGTGTTCTTTGCAAAAGTTTTTACTGTACTTTCGATAACTTTAATAAATGAGTGACCTGTTATTTTTCTGCATGCTGGAATACAGTTAGCTTAATATCAAATTTCTGCGTTTTATAATTAACGAAATCATTAAAATAAATAAAAAATAATTAGGGTTCAAGAGCTAATTTTTAAAAAATCATATTTAAGATTAATTATCGGATAAAACAGAATCACTTTAACCACCTGCTTTCTTAATAAATTTAAAAATTAGTTCTTAACCATTAAAAAAAAATAATTTAAGAATTTATCTTAAACCAGCATACATTTAAATAACTTTAAAGGGCAAAAAAGTCTTTCGCAAAACAAAACCAATTTAGAATACATGGTATGCAATGCTCAAGTTGTTTGAGGAACGAGTTTATAACAAGAAATTGTTTATTCGTAAATGCTGTCATTGTAATGACTAAAAAAAACAAACTTAAATGATAGAAATATTTAAGCTACTAAACTCAGTTAACGATCAAATGTGGATTAGTTAGAATGTTCAATTAATAGTTCGAATGTTCAATATTCAATGTTTAAAAACAAAGGTTTTTAAAACGTTGAATAACATAAATAATCGAATAAACACCGCGGGGCGCATTTTTGTAAATATTATTAATAACTTTAATATTATAAAATAAATAACAGTAAATATTTAAAAATTTAATATTTAGATAAGTGCTTATTAAGTTTAATCTTCCTAAATAGTCATTTTATAATAGTTTATACAACTTATGTTTTTTGGACAAAAAAACTTTTTTTAACTTTTTTTTTGCTTTTGAAAGGCTTTTTTTTTTTACTTAAGGAAGAAAAGGTCTTATTCAAAAAAAAAAGAAAAAGAAAATTAAAAAGATTCACTGACAATTTACTCATTCCTTTCAGCAGTTTTTTCTATTTAAAAGTTACTGTTTTTAGAGTTTGTGGCCTGTTTGTTCATAAAAATGTGTTAAGCTAAATTTTCACGCGCTTATCGGTTAAAAT